AATACATCCTCAACGCTCCAGCGACGCGAGGACTCTACCTTCTCCGGGGGGGCCCACGGGTTGGGCGCCTTGCCTGTACGGTTAAAGGAGTGCGTGGACGTCGAGTGGGATGTAGCCGCGCCATGACGCGTCTCCCGTGCGAAGGCGTGCTTGTAGCGGTGCGCCAGCCGCAGTATCACACGAATGCTGTCGATGTAGAACGTACCACCCATTTGCTCCGCCCGCTGCACAACGCCCTGTGAAAGCGACGGTGGACAGGTGGCAATGGCAACAGCACCATGCTCTGGTTGCTTTTGCTGTTGGTGGTGAGAGTGGTAGCTAAATTGGGACCTTTGAGTCGTATCGGTGGAGGCAGGGATTCGACGCACAGCCGAGGCGCCAGCCGTCGCCGCGCCCAATTGATGTCCATGCAGTATCGACGCCGACACCGGCCCCCGTGCAGTGCCGCGAAACAGGCGTGTCAGCGAGCGCAGCAGGAATTCATGCCATTGAGCACTGGAGCGCAGTGTGTGGGACCGCCGCCCACTTTCCAGATGCTGCTTCGTTACGTTGTCATCGTCACTCTCTGTATCGCTGACGAACTCCGTTATATTTCTCTCGATCGAGGAGAGCCCAACACTGGCAGAAGCAACACTTGAGGCATTATTAGCTTGCCTTCTTCCGTGAGGCACCGTAACCGCCGGGTACTGCTCAAAGTATGATTCGCTCACATTAGCGAAGACGGATGCGACGCGCCGCTGCACCTCTGCCTGTGTGACAGGGGACAGGCGGTGGAGGGCAATTCGCCGCATCGCTGCACGTGTTTCCCGTGGCGCCAGACCGTGACAGAGCCCTAACGTGCATGCAACCTCCACCAGCAGTCCTCGGGCCGCGGTGCCTTCACTTCCCCCATCATGCGGCTCCGCAGCTGCTCGCGGGCGACACAGCGGCAACGTCGCAAAGGCCTGCAGCAGCGATAGCAGGGCGTTGGGGTTCGTCACCACGTATGAGCTAGTTACGGTGGGGCTGGCGAGGGCGAACCATCTCCAGCAGAGCGCCGCAGCAGCTGCATATGCCGCCATACTCGACGGCCACAGCAACATACTTGCAAGCCGTTCACCAGCCTGTGTCTTGTAGAGAATGGCGGCAATCAACTCACTGCTATGCGCCGCGTGGTGTGCCACAGTGGTGGCGAGCCAGCGACAGCTCAGCTCTACCACTTCTCCCCAATGACTGCGTAATAGCTCTTCCATCACCTGCGGCATGACGGGGTCTTCTTGCAGCACTGCGAAGGCCGCCGGACACTCTGCAAGACGAGCAGCGAGGCGCAGGAACATACACAGCGCCGTCACTGTTGCATTTGGGGAGGTGCCGATGCCCCCACGCACACTTGTGCGGATGTACAGTGTGGCACTGTAGTAGACCTTGCATGCCACAAGCACNTCTGCTGCGCCCTCTACAGCACTCAGGGAGTGCAGAATGCTGGCCACATCGCAGGCCTGCACAGGCGATGCATTAGATAGGCAGCGCCCAATGGCTTCTATAAGTTTTGGATGCGTGAGCGCCGCTGCTGCTGTCGGTTTGGAAACAGTGACCATCATTAGTATTAACTCGAGTGCATTACCAATGATGGCGCTGCGAGTCTCGGTGACCGCGGTGGGACGGTCCCTTTTCTGCATCTTTATACCCTCATCTCTGCTATTCTTCCACCTTTCATCCTTCTCTTCTTCATCCTCACCTTCGTCTTCATCTCCCAGTGCGACGGATAGTGTCACCTCTAATGCGTGAAGGGCGTTGTGTTCCAATGCCAAGAAATCATGCACCAACACAGCCGCTGCCTTTCGGCCCCACACAGCGACGAGTGAGCCGACGGTTGCCTGCATGGCTCCGAGAGCAATCACCTGCGTCCGCTCGCTTGGGATGGGCGCAACGGCAAAGGCCAGGATGTAGGGCAGCACGCCCTCCACATCGGACAGAATGGCGTTTCTATGCCCCGGCAAGGATTCCAACACCCGCAGCAAATCACGTTCAGCTGTGATGGGAATAGCGCCGAGCTGAAGATTCTGTTGCAGCAACGTCCATTGGGCCTGTAGTGCCAAGGCGAGCGGCGTTGGCCGCGTGGTGGAGGAGGCAGAAACTGTGGGCCGTTGCTTTCTTGCCGCCGATGGCGATGGTGTGGAGACGGGACGGTGGCGCCCCTGCGGCGTTGCAGACGGCGAACCTCCTCCTCCTGCCTCCGCTGCTGCTGTTGGTGCTGGGGCTATGGCCCCCTGGGTATTTCCCCGCCTCTCTCTAGCCGGGGCTGACATTGCTGCGGCGGCGTTTCCCCCGAGACGCGGGCGTATTCTTTGCTGTTGTGTATTGTATTCTTCGCCACGCAGCTGGCGAGGAGGGTCCGCCAGCAACCTCCTCTGCTTGTGGTGCGTCGATGCAGGCAAGTGAACGGCAATAAGAACAAACAAAGAGGAGTGAAACAAAGGAGGTGCACCAGGCAGATGGGGAAGCCCAGCGGCAGGGGGAAGGCGAAAACAAACACACACACAAGAAGAAAGCGGCGAAGGAAAATGAATGAATAAAAAAACATCTCTTATTCATTCAGTTATGAGACCCGAAATAGCGAAGAAGAAAAAGAACGAAAATAACATTAGGCACCATAACTCATGGGAACGATGCCGTGGCGTCTCTGCCTTTGCTTTGAGGATGCCAGCACATGTACCACGCCCATCCCGGCAACTTCCCATCACGTCATGTACGTTACAAGACATTTAATTACACAGACAAACGAAAAACGAAAAAATTGCATTTTTTTCATCCATCGTTATCATCACACATCGCCTCTTGCAGAAGGCGAAGAAGAGTAAAGAAAGTGGCGTGCTTATCTACCCCCACCCCCCACAATACTTTTTTTTTTTGCTTTTCCTTCCACCCACGCACTCGTCCTCATTGAATTTACCGCGAAGACCGGGAACGACAGGAGGGGCAGCACGATCGAAGACAAGAATGGAACTCAGTAAGACGCGCGTTACCGCGACTTTGGTTATAACAACGGTGGTAGAACCGGGCACTGGGTGATTGGGAGGAGAGTACTATTGGAAGAAACAAAAGAATTGGGAAGGGATTTTTGCGGAGAAGCGCAAACATCATTTACATAAATGTAACGCTTGCCGCAGGCAGTCACCTCATGGGTGCGATTACGCTCCTTGTGCGAGAGGCTTACTCTGTCTTGTTCTCGCGGAGATACTTCGCCGCGGCAACCATATTCTTGAGCGACGACCGCGTTTCCTCCCAGGCGCGTGTCTTGAGGCCGCAGTCGGGGTTGACCCACAGACGCTTCACTGGCACCCGCTGCGCGGCCTTGAGCAGCAGCTCCACAATCGAATCCGCGGCGGGGACGTTGGGGCTGTGGATATCATACACGCCGGGGCCGATCTCGTTGGGGTAATCAAAGGAGTCGAAGGCCTCCAGAAGCTCCATGTCGGAGCGGGTCGCCTCCAACGTGATGACGTCGGCGTCCATCGCCGCAATGGTATCGATGATCTCATTCACCTCACTGTAGCACATGTGCGTGTGGATCTGCGTCTCGGGGCGTGCAATGGCCACGGTGATCTTGAACGCCTCCGCCGCCCACCTGAGGTACGACGCCCAGTCACGCTTCTGTAGTGGGAGCCCCTCACGCACCGCTGGCTCATCCACCTGTATCACCTTGATGCCACCGTTCTGCAGGTCGTTGACCTCGTCGCGCAGAGCCAGGGCGAGCTGCTGCGCCACCGCTTTGCGTGGGATATCTTCACGGGGAAAGGACCAACAGAGAATGGTCACTGGACCCGTCAACATGCCCTTCATTGGGCGCTGCGTCAGCGACTGCGCGTAGGCAGACCACTCCAGTGTCATCGTCTTGGGGCGGCTGACGTCACCAAAGATGATGGGCGGCTTCACGCAGCGGGATCCGTAGCTCTGCACCCACCCATTCTGAGTGAAGGCAAAACCGTTCATCAACTCACCAAAGTACTCCACCATGTCGTTGCGCTCCGGTTCACCGTGCACCAGCACGTCCAGACCAATGTCCTCCTGCTCGCTCACCATCCGCTTGATATGGTTCCGCAGCTGTTCCTTGTACGTAGCCTCGTCGGTGCGACCTTTTTTAAAATCCAGACGCTGTGCACGGATGTCGGGCGTCTGCGGGTACGACCCAATTGTTGTTGTGGGCCACAACGGCAGTTTCAACAACTTGTGCTGCACTTCTGCGCGCTTTGTATACGGCAGAGACCGTTCCGCATCTGCTGGCGTCAGCTTCGCCACCCGTTCATGCACCGCCTGATTCACCACACGACTTGAGATGTGATGCTGGAGCACAGGGGCACTGTATGCCTTCACCTGGTCAGTCGCGCCGCTATTGATGGCACTGGAGAGGAGGCTCAGCTCAGTGCACTTCTGCAGGGCAAACGCTAGCCAGCTCTTCACCTCCGCATCCAACTGCGTCTCGTGTTCCAGGTCGACTGGAGAGTGAAGTAGAGAACAGGACGTTCCCGCCCACAGTTTTCGGTGTGGTACCGCATTTCGGAGTACCTCGATCTTGCTGCAGATTTTGCTCAGGTCAGCGCGCCACACATTTCGGCCATTGATTACACCAGCAGACAAAACCCACGCTGCCGGTAGTTCCTTCTCTACTCCCGCCAAGTCATCCTGTCCTGCGACGAAGTCCACATGCAGGCCGTCTACCGCAAGGTGTTTGATGGTGGAAAGGTTGTGGCTGATGCGCTCGAAGTACGTGGTTAACAGGAGCTTGGGCGCATGGCTCGTCAGCTTTCGGAGCGTATCGTATGCTGGCTTGAAGGCGGCAAGCCAATCTGAGTCCAGCTCCAGCACCAGCGCTGGCTCGTCAATCTGCACCCACTCCACACCGCGCTTGGCTAACTCCTTCAGCACCTCTGCGTACACGGGCAATATGCTCGGCAGCAGAGTGAGGCGGTCAAATTTCTCTTCGGCCCTGACTTTACCAAGCCAGAGGTACGTCACAGGCCCCACGAGGACAGGCTTCACACGACGAGGCTCACACACCGCCAACAGTTCATCCACTTCCTCAAGGATCTGGCGCCACGCAAAAGTAAACTTCTGCGTCGGGCTCGTGAACTCTGGCACAATGTAGTGGTAGTTTGTGTTGAACCACTTTGTCATCTCTGATGCAGCGGCGGGGGTACCAGTGGGCGCGCGACCACGGCTGATGCGAAAAAGAGTGTCGATATCAATGACGCCGTTGGGCGACTGGTGGCGCGGCGGCACGTTGCCGAGCATGAGGCTCATGGCCACCATGTGGTCGTACCAGTGGAAGTCGCCAACGGGGATCAGCTCGACCCCGCGCTCCATCTGCTCCTTCCAGTGGCGGTGCCGCAGCGTGCTGCCGGTGGCGCGCAGACCATCCTCCGTCTCCTTGCCGGACCAGTACGCCTCAAGCGACTTCTTCAACTCGCGCTGCACGCCAAATCGTGGGAAGCCGAGGCTGTGTGTGACCACAGATGTCGTCATTGTGAGTGTATTAACCAATAAATAGTGTCGGCTCGCGATACCTACTACGGTTAGCAGATGAGACAGGAATAATAATGAAAAAAAAAATAAATTGAACACAAAACGTGGAATAAATCTTTTTCATTCCCGCACCTCTTCCCCCCCCCCCTATTAGAGGGCATTTTGAACGCCATTGCAGCGGTTCCCCAGAGTAGGAGAAAGAAGGCGTGAATGCAACACTGGCTTGTCCGCCCTCAGTCCGTTTGGTGGACAAGCTAATCGAGCCCACCCAAGAGGTCGTGGCTGTCTTTCTGTGGCACTGAAGTTTTGTGCAAAAGCGGCATCGCTTCGTTGTGAAGCCGGCGTCTGGCACGCTCGCCACCACCCACGTCTTCATCATCATCATCGATATCGTCACTCTCAGGCGAGCGGGAAAAGAGCCGTAGAGATAGCCTTTTGCGCCATTTTTTTCCAGCCACCTGCGCTACACCGAACCACAGCCAAAGGAGAGCTGACAGCAGAATATAGAAAATACCAGCGTTGCGGCAGCAGGCAGCTTTCTCCACAAGGTCCCATTCCTGCGTCGCTGCGATGACTTCGAAGGTCCAGTTGCCGTGTCGCATGAGTGCTGCGAATGTGAAAAGAATGACACCAGAGGCGAGAGTGAAAGGGGCGCAGCAGCCAACGAAGGCTGGCGGTGCCATGTATAACACGCGCACAGCAAACCCACGGAGACGCAAGCACACAATTGCTCACTCGCCTTTTCTTTTCCTCTTTAACCCTTATCACTAGAATACGTGTGCGCCACTGTACTATTACCCTGGAAAATAGTGTGCTTGCGTACGCGGCATCCCAGTCACGCCACCAGACGCCGGCCGAGAAATGAAGTACGAGCAAAAGAAAAGGGAATCCAGATCACGAAAGAAATAAAGATGTTGGAGGAGAATGCGAGATGTGTGATTGGAGGGTGGGGGTGGAGAGGCTATTTCTGCATCATGAAACTGACGGCAATAATGCCATCAGCCACAGTTCATTGCAATGCAATGCTGGTGGAAGCCATAGAGCTTTCACCAAAACGATGTCACTCTCGTTCTTGAAAGCTTCAATGGCCTGCGTTTCTCCGCAGGCAGTGCGGTTCCAGAAGGTAGAGATCCATCGCCGCTGTTGATATCAGTGTTGTTTTTGGCAGCAGTTCGGGCGTAGAGGTGACACTCTGCCCCTGTTACAGTTTCTAATACTGGAATGATAGGCAGAAGGGACTCAAGTCGTAGCAGCCCTTTGATGTGTGGCTGGGGGGCAGTGTGACCTTTCCGCAGTGGTGAAGGAGGTGCAAGTCCCCCCCAAGCCTGTATGAGTGAGTGAGTTGACTGACCGACAGAAAGAGAAAGAGAATGAGAGAGAGGGAGAAAGAAAGATAGCAGGGAACTTGGCCCACTATTTCTTGCCCTCTGCCAGGTGCCGCTCAATTATGACTCCGCGAATGCAGGAGGACGGTGGGGCCGACGATGGGGCGGTTAAGTTTCCGGCCGCAACGCCTGACAGGGACGAGTTCTTCGAAGAGGTAGAGGCGGCTTCCGGTTTCCCTGTTGTTCTCGTTCGACCAGTATAAACAGCACCACACAGTGAGTTTAAACTGCCATTACTTTCACGAGTCACTGGCCACATCGGTGGTCGCGACGACTGAGCCAGTGGCTCGGATGTTGCCACTGGAGTCACTGTCGTTTTGACTGATGCTGAGGGAGTAGTATCCAGTGAAGTGCGCCGTGTAGGCGTTTCCGCTTTTGCCTTCGTTGGCAACGGAATACCCGGCCATGAGGCTCCGTCATCTAGCTGGGGTTGCTGGCGCTGTTTGTGTGGTTCTTGTTGCTGCTGCAGTTGTTGTTGTTTGGGTGTTGCCGGCTGCTGCTGCTGCTGCTGTCTGGATGGTGCCTTCACAGGTACAGGAAGATTAACTCTACAAATTGGCTGCGCATAGAAGAAATCTTCATTCTTATGGTTGTGCGGCCCGATCAGCTTCGTGAGGGCGCACCCAACAGCGAGGCCGCGGTGCGATATCCCGGTAAAGCTCTCAAGGTCCAAGCTGGTGCATGGGCAGTCTACCGCCGTAGCCTTCGCTGCAATCGGGTCCCTGGAGCTGTTTGCCGCCTCCCCGTAACGTGAATTGGTGCCAGCACGCTCCTTCATCATCTTCACAAGCGGCAGCGGATGGCGGAGGTTCCCCAGCGGGATGATGTCGATACAGCGCCGTATAATGGCGCCAGTGCCAAGCAGCTCGCCGTCGACGGCATCGGGCGGTATTTGCGAGCTCGGCGGCGCACTGTCGCGGTTGAGCAGAACGATGCCCTGAATGGCCGTCAGGGTGCGCTTGTTCGCGACATGTGGCGACCCTGCAGCGAAACTAGGACCACTCTTCGATTCCATCGCGGATCCGGTCGCCATATCTGTTGACCCGCTGGGACCGCTGCCGAGCTCAGCGAAACTCTCTTCTATACGCCGCAACACTGTCGCGACGGATCGGAACGGGAAGGGCTCAGATGACCTGGTCCTGCGCGCCGCCATGTCTGCGTTAGCCCTCACGAAGGACTTTATGGCGGACTCTATGGCGCCCGAGTCACCGCTTGTGGGCGGAAGCACTTCCGTCACTTCATCCAGGATGGTGTAGAGGGCAAACCACAGCGACGTTGACGCGTTGGGGGACACCCGCTGCTTCTGTAGGATAAAAGACCGCAGCGCCTGCCAGATGACTTCGTACCGCGTGCGTGCAGGAGTGAACACGTCATTCTTCTTCGGCGGTGTTGCGGCATCAACCGCCTCCTCCCCACCAAGGCCAACACTCTGGATGCTGGTGTCGTTCTTAATGGTGTTGCCATCGTCGTCACCTGGTGGCCCGAGCGGGTGCGGGAGTGCGTAGTCCGTGAGAAAGATGGAGGAGTCCATGTCAACGAAAATGACCACCACATCACGACGATTTATCAGGTGAAAATAGAAGTCCATTTTTGTCCTCTCTCCCTGCGACCCCGTTTCCCGTTTCCCGTTTCCCGTTTTCTTTTTCGCTCCACCTCTCCCTTTTTTTTCTCTCTCCCTCTCGGTGCGATATGGTCTCCGTGAGCGTGCCTGGGAGGTGTGTAAAGCCTACTTGGCCTGTAATATAAATAAATATCTCTCTCTCTCTCTACCACAACAACAACTACTACTACTACTACCCTTCATGCCGTGTGGAATATATATGTATAGAATTGGGAGGGGGAGAGAGGGGAAGCCATGGTCATGAACGGCACCGTAAGAGAATTGATCCTGTCCGTTACTTCACGCCCCACCCCCTTTGCATACTGTCTTACACAAACACAAACACACTGGTGGTCTCGTTCCACAGCATTACAGTGTGGCTTTGTTTAATCGTCAATTCCTCTCGCTTTCTCCTGTTAATACTTTCGTCTCTTTCTCTGTCTTGAACTGACAGCCGTACACCCTCTCCAACCACCACCACCACCACCACCATCATCATCACCCAACTGCAGCAACAGCAACAGCCACTCTACCCTCTGCTTCTACTACAGCAGCCGCCGAAGAGCTGCGTTCTTCCGCACACTTGACGCCGGGTCATCATCACTGGTCGTATTGTGGCTGAAGTTGTTCTGCTGGCCACGCAGCACACGCATGTCGTCGGCGAATTCGGCCTCCACACGACGGCGTTTCTTGAGTTGCATCTGCGACATCTTCTTTTCAACTTCTTCGCTATCCTCATCATCATCATCCCTGCCGCGTTGTTGCAATCGCTGCTTCTTCGCCCGTCGCTGCTGCGCGATCTTCGAGGTACGCATTGTCTGCTTGGACCGAACCTTATCCGCGCTGTCCTTCTTGTCCCACTTCTGCATCTTGCGCTCTTTCACCACCTCCTTTTTGGACCTAAGCTCGCGCGTGGCCGGCCGCTCCTTGTAGCCGAGGTCCTCGTCGACCTCCTCATCGTTGCCAACCTTGAGCCCTGTTGGCGCCTTGTCGCCGAGTGACTTATCGGCGCGTCGCTGCTTCCTCTCGCGAATCGCACGTGCCCTGCGGTCGAGGCGGATGTTCTCATTGTACTCCGCGAGCCGCGCCTCGTTGACGCCAGGGACCTGGATGTCGAGTGAGATTGTGTCGGGCGGAAGCTTGTCGAGCAGCGTTGTGACGACGCGCTCCTTCCGGTGCCGCTCCGTCTCGTGTGGGTTGGCGTAGAAGAAGTCGGGGTTGGCGTCGCCAGAACCGGGGATGAGCAGCGACTGGAAGCCGCGCGAGTGGCCCACGCCGAGGACGTCCTCGAACGGGCAGAAGCGCAGCTGCTGTGCGATGTTGCCGTAGCCGAGGCCGAACTTCATGTACGGAGCCGTCGGCTTCGCGGTGGAAAAGATGCCCTTCCATATCTGCACGTTTGTGCCACCGCCCAGCGCGACGAGGCCGGAGCTTGCGATGTCGATGCTGTTGAACGTGTACGTCACGGCGTACTCCTCGAGCGCGCGCAGTGTGCGGCAGTCCCACACCTTGAACTTGTGATCGCCACCAAGGGTGACGAAGAAGCGGCCATTGGGGTGGAAGCGTATGTCGTCGATTACACCCTTGTGCCCCTTGAGCTGCACGAGCGGATCCACGACGGTCGGTGACCACATCTTCACGACGCCGCGCAGGTCGCAGCTGGCCACCACGCCGTTGCTGGGGTTGACAGCCATGCAGGACGTCGGATCCCGCACCGCCGACGGCACCTTTGCGCCAAGCTCCTGCCCGGTGCTAATGTCCATGTACTGCATTACACTGTACCGAGACGACGCCGCGCACAGCAGCAGGTGGCGCGGCAGGTACACCAGCCGGTCCATGTTCGCCATGCGGGAGAGAATGTGCATCTCGGCGCCCTCTTTGGTGTACATGTAGACGTATTTCTTCTGCGCCAGCGCGGTCATGGTGTGGTCGATGAGGAACTTGGCGTCGTCAATGCGATCCTTCAGCTGCGTCTCGCCATTGAGGGCGAAGTCCTTCCAGCGGATGTTCGCCATGTGGCCGCGCAGCCCCGCCAGTAGCAGGTGTGTGCCGTTCACTGTGAAGTCCACCTTGTACGGACCCAGTTTGTCGAGCACCAGCTCGTACTTCTTCTCCTGCGACTGCAGGTCGACGGCGCCGAGGATGTCGTCCTGCGTGACGCGGTCAGCGACTTCACGTTCGTCAAGCTCGAGCCCCGTGTCGGTGCGCTCCGGCTTGGTGAAGAGGTTGACGCGTGCGACGCGCTTTGGGGCGTGGCGCTGCACCATCTCGTGCTTCCGCGCCTCCGCGTTCTGCAGCGCGCTGCTGTCCGTGACCCAGCGGCCGCGGAGTTGCTGCTTCTCCTCGTTGGCCTTGTCAGCCTGCAGCTCGGCGCCGCGCCTCCGCATGAGCGCCTTTGTGTCTTTCGATATCCTCGCACCCGAAACCATTTTTCCTTCTTATTTTCTTTTGCCCTTCGCCCCGCCTATACGCCCTTCCACTTGGCCAACTGGAAGCAGGAGACAGAGAGAGCGGCAGAAGAACATCGCGAGAGCAACAGAGAGGGTTAATCAACCATATATACATACATGTCTCTCTCTCTCTCTGTGTCTGTGTGTGGGTGTGTGTGAATGGCAAAAAGAAACGAAAGGATACAGAAAACGAAACAAAACAGCAGTGCGAAGCGGATACCACACCACTCCCCGCCCCCACCTAGGCATTTTTCCTTTCCCTTCAAGAGTCTTTCAGTTGCTGCTTCTGCTAACCTCACGGCACCTCCTCAGTCCCCATCCAAACCTCACCTCATCCCCCCATCCTCTCTCTCTCTCTCTCTCTCTCTGCTCATGGCTGTTGGATTCTTTCGCTTTGCGTCTCCCTCCGCTGTTTGACATGCGCAAGAGGGGGGGGGGGAGGGGATGGCTTGGGCGCGTCCTCTCGCTCCTACTTATTTTCTCCACCCAATATGCGCGTTCACACGTACAACAACAAAAAGACACACACACACACACACACACACAAACAAACAAACACGTCCCCACAGTTTGGGGACAAACTAACACCAAGAGAATGCAAGCGACTTCACACAGTCGCCCAGTGACATTACTCATCCGCCAGCATGTGATCAAGCTGCTCCAAAATATCACGCGACTGCTTCCAGTACCGCCGCTGGAGTGCCTCCAACTCATCACTACCTGCAGTAACTGCAGTATGTGGCGCTGGCGTCTCCCGCCGTTCTGCATCAGTCTTCCCGCTGGGTGTGTTGGGGGCCAAACACGGTGCATGGACACCCCGCCCTCGCGTCGACCTACCACGCGGTGCAGGAGCAGAAACACCACCAGCAGCAGTTAACGTGGTTGTCCTTGCGTTTCTGCTGCTCCCCCTCCGCGCGGCACCAGAACCCAAGGCAACCTCGGAGGTTCTTTCCCTTACCGAAGCATTCCGGCCACGCTGAACCCCAACTGCAGCAGTTCCCTTGTGCCGTGGCGACGGTGACAGAAAGGGTTGGGACTGTGGTAGCGGCGGGACGGACCTCGCGCTCCTTCGAGGTGCCGCAGCAGGCCTCCGCACGCTCTCCGGTGGGTACTGATGTGAGTTGTTGCAGCGATACATGAGTGAGTGCTTAAGTGTCTCTAGAAGCTCCAGAACTTCCTCCGCATCGAGGGCTCCACGGGGCTGTGAGCGCCCACGGGGGCGGTTATTCTGCCGTGCAGAGATGTCACGGCGGCGTGCGGCTGAGGGTGCAGCAGCAGCAGCAGTAGCACGTCTGGTCGGAGACTTTTTTTGACCGTGCGGGTGAGGAACGCCGCCGCCGCCACCACCACCACCGCCTCTGGAGTAACGCTGCTTGCCCGGCTGTGCATCCCGAGGCTGGCGAGTTGTGAGGAATCTCTCCGGCGAGCTGGCCTCGTCTACACTGCGTGATTGGCTTTCTTCACCCGTGGGCGCATCCTCTTCGCCACGACGATGCGCCACTGCTGCCGCCGCCGCTGCTATTCCTGCTGGTGTTGTCGTGGTTATTGTTGTCTCCCACCCTCTAATGCTGCTGTTGTCTGACGGAAGCTGTTGCTTCCCGCGTTGTTGTTTTCCAGTCAAATAGCCCCGTCTTCCCTCATTTGACGGGTAGAAGGAACTGGTGGCAACACCATTGTGACTCCCCCGTCGCGGACCGGCGGCGATGGGATGCCCGTGTTGATGCTGAGAGGCTTGCTTACACGCCACCAGCTCCCTTCGTGTCTCTATCAGTTCTAATTCCAGTTCTCTGTTCAGGGCGGCCATGTGCAGCAGCATCTGCTCCAAAGAGTGCACATGCTCTGCAGGGCCGCCAGGCACCAGACCAGTCTCGACACCCCTGCTGACTAGTTCTCCCTGGTCACTTGGCTGCGAGCGCTGTTGTGGCTGTTGTTGTTGTTGTTGTTGTTGCTGTTGCTCACCCTCTTCCGCTTGAGGTAAATCCGTGCCAGCACAGGCAAACGTCCCTTCTTCTACCTCGAAGCCATTCTGCTGAATTTCATTTGCCACCGCTTCTACATGCGGTACGTTGTTAGACAATGACACAGCCACCGCCGCCCGGTCCTCGGCATCGTGAACCGCAGCTCCGACGCTCGGAGCCGCTTTCACGCCCCGGTGCGGATGACCCAACTGAGCTGCTCCAACTTTTGCAGCTGCTGGGGCGTTCGCCCCCCGCCTGAAGCCGTCCTTGGAGGAAGTCCGGCACCTACTGCTGCCAGCACCGCCGCGACACGCCGGCCTGGCGCTCCCAGCTTCTTTTGCCGCTGTATTTGTAGTCATTCTTGCGGTCACCCCCCTCGCCCGTTGCATGACTGTGGGTGCGGCCAGAGAAGCCACACTAGAGGAGAGAAACTGACGCGGAAAGGAAAATGCGTCAGCAGGCGTGGATGAAGAGGGGGAGGGAGAAGGCAAACAAACCAAAAAGATGTGGAAAGAGAGGATGAAGGTGGCTGTAGAGAATGAGAGGGGACGAGTCAGTGGAGGCCCCACACCCCATTGACAAGAGGAGCAAAGAAGCACGCAAGAACAAAAACAAAAACGGCTGAGAGAAATAGGGAAATACCCACACGCTTCAACATTCAACACTCACTGCCTCTCCTCCAACCCCATCCATCCCTCTCGCCCCCCCTTTTCTCTCTCTCTCTCTCTTTACACACCTTCACTGAGCAATCTTGCGGAATCCCTCACGCAGGTCCTCCCGCATCTTGATGAACGCCACCTTCTCCTCCCCGCTCATGAGCCGCAGCAGCCCCGTGTCGCGCACCCCCTTAATGTGGTCCCACGGCATCAGCAGCAGACTCGCCGTCTCCTTCAACAGGCGGAACAGTACCTCCACCACCGCACCGCCAAGCCCCGGCGTGCGGATAATGGGCCCCATCGCCTCCATGTACGCCGTGACATCCTGCTTGTAGATAAGCGCCCCGCGATCGTTGACGGTAAACGCCTTGACGTGCGTGACGATGCCGCGGTACAGACAGACCCCAATGGTGCGCACAAAGGAAGACGGACCGCCGTCGCCGTACAGCAGCTGCTGCATGCTCATCATCCGCGCGCGTGCACGCACAGCGTCCGACGCCTCCGTTGCTGGTGCTGCAGCTGTTGGGGCCGCACTCTGATGTGGGCTCGACGGCGACACGAATCGACCCGACGACACGACTTGATCGAGCGTCGCCCCGCTGACAACCTGGGAGGCGGTCTGGCGCTGCGGCACTTGTCCGTTGGAGAGCCGTATGAACTCCTTCGCCTCCTCAAACTGCCGGGTGACATACATGCAGAATAGCGTGCAGGCGCGTGTACACGGCTGCGCGAGCATCTCCCCCTCCGCCCCCTTCGCCACTTTTGGCATGTAGTCGTTACGATTCTGGTAGTGCAGCAGGATGGACAGGGAACGCACAATAATGGCGTTGGCGCACATGTTCAGCAGGGTCTCTGCGCGTTCGTCGAGCTCCTCAAAGGCGGCCTCCCTTGCTTCTTCGATCTCCTGCGCGAGTCGCGCATCGCTCTGCAGGCACGGCATACAGCTGGCCGCAATGGCGTCGTTGAGGCTCATGAGCGAGGACTGCACAAAGAGCAGCATGCGCAGACCACACTGCTGTGACTCCAGCTTGGTGGGCCGCAGCAGTTCCTCCTCGCTCTTCGGCTTCATGCGCCAGTTCTCGCGGTCGGCACGAATCGACTCGACTGTCTTGCGCAGCTCCTCATCGAGATAGCGGCCCATGTTCTCTAGCGATGCCTTGGCAAGGCCAAGGATACACGGCCCAATGTCCTTCGGCAAGGCATATGTGCGTGTGCGTGTGGCAACTTCTGTGAGGCGTTCAATAAGCTCCTTCGTCTTCTTCATGTGCGCCTCGCGCAGGTCGAACACCTCTTCCGGGACGGGGTGCAGGTCACGTGTGTGCTGCTCTTCCAGCAGCTTGTGGTAGCGGAACAGCAGTTCGAGCTCTGCCCGCTGCTCCGCGAAGGCGGCGCGGCCGTTGAAGATGGAATCAGCGTACTTGTTCAGGAAGTCGACCTCGCCCCGGTCGAAGATGCCGCGCAGCTCCTCCACGTACGCGCGGAAGAAGCTGAAGAGCCGCACCTGCATACTGTGCGCGTACGTGATAGCGTCCGCGACACGCCCCGCTGAGCGCCGCCGCGAGCGTGGTGAGAGGCGCCCCTCCGCCTCCACCATGTCTCGCTCAAAAAACTCCACCAACTTCAGCTGTTGCGTCACGAACGGCTTCACGACGCCTTCTGTCATCTTCGCGAGCAGCTGCTGCCGCGCAGAGTTTGTCGTGCCGAAGATCGTCTCCACGACAATCACATCACGCCGGGCGCGGGAGATGAGAAAGTCAAACGTACGGTGGAGATCTGGTTCCGTCGTGCTGTGGTAGTGCGCCATAGCAGAACCTGGTGGTACAGTTGCTGCTCCCGTGGTGCCGAGTGACGGCTGCGGGGGCAGCGGCTTCGGTGAGTACTCACTGAAGAGCGTCGTGCCCATTTGGTTGATGGTGCGTGCGTAGAATACGGACAGCAGCGCATCATGTGAGGGCGTAATGGTGGTGTACAGCCGTGAGATGAGCTCGAGCGTCTTCAGAATGGCGCGGCCGTACGCCTGATGCACCGCTGTGTCGGGGTGCTCCTTGTACAGGTCGTTGAAGCGATCCACGAGGTGGAAGACGTCGGCGACGAGCTCCTTCCGCACCCAGTCCACGTAGAGGTCAACGTTCGTGGTGTTGCCAACAATGCCATTGAGCTCGCGGCACAATTGTGTGAGCCGCTGGCACCAGTCCACCTGAGCCTCAGTGCAGCTGCGCACCGAGAAGGCGTGGTCAAGGCCGGCCGCCACCGCTGCTGTCTCGAGCCGGTGCATCTTGTCACGCCCAACGTCATTACTGCGACTACCACCACCACCCGCTGCTGCCTGGCCACCACCACCGCCGCGATTTTGCGCGGTAGAGCGGCGGTGCAACTGCCGGGTGCCGCTCTGTCGGAACGGTCCACGCGGACCCCCGCTTTCCGTGCCGCCCTCAACGCTGTTGTTGTGGCTTTTGTCGTCGTCGCGGTTCTGCTGCTCAGCGACCTCGCTGTCACCGTCGTCGCCATTGTCACCGTCCACTTCCCCTGCCGGTGTCGCATTGCCGCCGAAGTACATTGGGTCCGCGGACGACACGACGCCGGCCTCCCACAGCGCCGTCACCTGCGCGCGCTGCTCCACGCGTGCCTTGGACAAGTTCTTCAGCACCGCGTTCAGTTCCGCGTGATTCATCTGCGTCAGCATCTTGAAGTGCTTCAGCAACTGCGAGACGGCGCGGCCACGCAGCACCCGCGCGTTGGACTGCGCCAAGTGCTGCTCAATGCCCGCCGTTGCCGCCAACGCGTTGCACACGCGGTTCTCGTACTCGTGCAGCCGCGAGGTCGTGGCCTCTAGCCCAAGGCGTATGGTTGCGAGCTGCAGCTTCTCGCGGATCTCCACACGGCGGCAGCGCACCTCGCGTGTCTGAAGCGCCTGCCCCTCCGTCTCCTGCACGCTCTCGATCTCCGCAATGGCGTCCTCCAGCGTCACTGTCAGGCGGTTCGCTAAAACTGCATAATCATCGCCAGCACTACTGCCCTCACGCGGCTGCTTCTCATCCACACCACGGCCGAGGCCGCTGCTGTCGTTCTTGGTGTCGCCGCTGCCGCTGCCAACAACTTCGGAGAGCCGCCGGCCCCCACCCGCCCCCATTGCTGATGCATTTCGCCTCTGCGACAGCAATATGGGGAAGAGCAGGCGGTTGGTGATGTTATTCACGAACGTCGGCGCAGAGAAGTGAATAGAACTGAACACAAGCCGATCCAATGGCGGGCGCTCCTGTTGCGGTGGCGGTGGGGACGCTGGCCCTCGGCCGGCGGCACCACCCCTGCTGTTAGTTTTGCTCCCACTAGTAGTCGCCGGCGACGTCGGTGCCGCAGCCGTTGTGCCGGCAGAATTACCAGCGTTTCGGCGGAAGACAATCTTCTTTCGCGCCAGCGCCGCCCCTGTCGCCTCGTTATCAGCAGCCGGAGCCGACATTTCTAATGCCTTTTTTTGTGTTGCGTTTGTTACTTCTCACGAGTATAACACTTTCTTTCCTTCTCTCTATCTCTCCCCCCGATGTATATCTGTATATATCTGTATGCAGAGGTCCCACCTGCGGCCTTGGGGAGAGGTGTGCGCTGTGAGGGCCTGCGGAACACCGCCGAGCAAGTGCCGAGAAAGAGTTGGAAAGAGCAGTGGGAACGCGCACCAGAAAGGGAACCGGCTGAGGTGACGCATGCGGGGAGAGCCGAACATGAATAAACGTGCATAGAACAGTAACAGTTCAGAGGATATCTCGCCGCTCTCCTCAGACAAGAGCATGAGTCTGAAAAAAGACGCTCCATCCCCATCTTTTATTTCCACTATTTCTTCTCTGTCCTCCGTTGTCTTATTTCTCGGTGTTTCACATTCAAGCGTCTGTTTTTCTTTTCTTTTGTCCCCCATCCTGTGGAGGATGCTCATTCCTTTTTTTTTTTGTTCTCTTTTCGCTTTTGTTTTGTTTGTGGGTTTGGTTTCTCCAGCGATCTTCTGTGCGTCACTCGCTTGGTCCCAATTCCTGCACTTCGTTCTGCACGTATCGCCGCCTGGTGTGTGCGCGGGGCATAGATTCTGGGCAAAAATACGAGAGAGCAACACACACACACATATATAGATATAGATGTATGTATATATACATATATATATATATATATATATATATGGCGAAGGGGGAAGGACGGAAATGTCTGCATCGCAATCAACGCGACGTTGGGGCAAACACACGCAAACAATCAAACAAACAAACACACACACACACACACACAGAGAGAGAGAGAGAGAAGCGCCCATTAAAAGAGGTGCATGGCTTTCGCCCATCTTCTACGCCTTTTTCTTTCGGTTCCTTTCGCTGGCGTCGTTGTTGTTGTTGTTGCCGCCCGCACCGCCGCTGCTGCGCGGAGGGGTAGTCATCTTGGTGCTCTGGCGAATGACACCCTTGCTGGGGCCCTTGCCGTCGCCGCTGTCCCGCCCCGCAGGGCGATCCTTTTTCATCTTGATGATCACCGTGTCCTCTTCCCCGGAGAACTCCGAGACGAGCAGCATCAATGGCACCTTCACCCATATGTACATCAAGTACAACAGACAGATGACGGTCGCCACGACTAAACTCATTGCGATGATGCCGTTGTAGAATGTCTCAACACCACCGTCCGCGGCCAAGGAAATAAGTGCTGCCATGAAGCGCTCCTGGAGCCCTGCCCAGTCTTTGCTGAGCAGCATGTCCACCCACTCCCGCAGGGAGATGAGGAAGCCGTCTACCGTCAGGCCGTATGTGTGGTGCAGCACGAAGAGCTGCACCCACACCCGCCAGACCAAATTCGGTATCACCACTGCGGAAAGAATGAAGGGGCCGAATAATGAGAACAGCACAACCCCTGCGACGACCGTCATCCACGGCAGCACCATGTATGTGACGGACTTCAGCTGCAGAAGGGCGAGCGCTAGCGTCTCCGTCAAGCCGCTGCTCTCGTCGTCAAAGCCGCGGTTTTTCTTGTGCAGTTGAATCTCATCATACACGGTGCGCGAGAGGGCCCCGAAGAAGGTGGATGTCTCATCGTACGCCTGCAGCACTTCTCTGTACTCCACCGCAGAGTAGCGGTACACGCCACGCACCGTCTCCCAGTATAGGCGCGCGTGCAGCAGCATAATCTCCGCGAGGATCTGCAGCCGCCCCACCAGCGACTCCGTGTCGCTGTCGGCGGCGCGCCGCAACTCTACTTCTTGGATGC